CATCCCATCAGAGCCAAACATTGATAACTGAAGCATCATGACTTTTAGGCAACACGTACAACTACAAAACAAGTTCACAACGTGTCCATCAGCTAATGCTAAGTTAACATCTTGTAGAAAAACCTCCATAATGTCACAAAAAACCAATAAAATGTCAAAAAAATCGACATAATGTCACTTTTTTACATTGACAATAAATCCACGGATTTCTCCATGAATTGAGTTCATGGCCAAATTTTAAAATCTTTAAAAAGGAATTTGACGTCAAATAAATCTACGAACTTCTTCGTTTATGAGAAACCACAATACACCTAAAAACTCAAAATATTTCTAGCAAGAATTTGTTGTGTGGTTGGCAGCACTGTGTACTGGCATATAATCCATGAATTAATCCATTGATGTAAACACCGCAAAACATAATCACGATGACCTTGAAGAAATCCATCTGAATAAATTCATGAAGAAATTGTTGATGTAAAACGGGTATTTCCATTAAGAGTTCCGAGCACTCATTATGCCGCAGTCCAGGCTGCACATTAGCAGACTCCAGGTCTACACTACTCTGGACGATGGGCGTATAGTAAACTGAGGAATGCATGAAGAATGAGAGTTGAGACAACTGCAGGCAGGCAAAGGAGTTTATGGCTGGCCATGACAAATTTCGGATACTCTAGCTGTTGTACAAGATCATTGCTCAAACCTTTGGTGTCCTTCATCAAAGTGAAGGATAAGACAGCGCAGGCTGCCTTGGCGATTATGGCGTATACCACTGTGTGAGGGTCGAGATATACGAAAGATATACGATCGATCGGAACTTAACCACATAAGGGAGCTTGATAGCCAAGAAATACTTAGACGCACAGCGGAATGGATGATAAAATTGAAGAATGAATTACTGTTTATGGGATTCTAATAATATTATCAGAGACTTCTAGTGTGCTAGTAAATTAGAGTAGATTGGACTACATTGACAGTCTGACGACCCCTATATGAGTCTATCGTAGCACGCCACATGTTACTATATACTATACCGAGCGTTTCAAATTCGACCCTCATCATTGGGATCTCGGAAACGGTAAGAGATACAAAGTCGCTTAAATGGAAAAATCTAAATGTCCTCAAAATCGAAATAATTTTTTCCTCACTTTATTTGTAGTGGGATTTCAAAATAAATTGCACGTTAACATTGTAACTTTTCTCATTTACAAGATGGCATTAGAATTTCAATATGACGTTTCCTCTCTTGTCCTCCAACATCAACTTTATTTTTTATTTTGGACGCCATATAGTATTTTTGTACAGGTGAATAGAGTCTTTAATTCTGATTCCAAAAATGTATAATGTCATACATTGTCATTACCAAACCACAGTTATTAAAAATACAGAAATTCCTAGACAGGACCTATAATTATTATCAGATTTTGTTTCGTAAACCAGATTTATCGCAAAATATTTTTTGTTTTTCCCGAGATGGGATTTCAAAGTAAATTGCACATTGTCATTGTCACGTTATCTCCTGTACAAAAGGTCAACTTTTCAACTCTAAGCTTCTTCTTTCGACTTCCATCACCAACCTTGTTTTTTCATATGGACGCTATATTGGAATTTTGTACATTCAGATGGAGTTTTCAGTCCTAAATTCAGTGATATATTTCATTAGCTGGCCATGAATTTGTTGTTGGAATAAAAACTATAAGGAAATAAAATAGCGCAGGTACATCCTAGTAGATGTAGAAGAAATTGTTCATTATTTTGTAGGCTTTTCTCTGTGAGCTATGCATTGCTCGGTTTATTTCCCTTCTGCTCAGTCTTCCAAACTGTGTTGCAATGTTCAATTTGACGTCTGGTCTGGTATACAAAACAAATGACTATATGATAATATCAAGGCCTACCTAAGAAATTCTGTTTTTCTCAAATAATTAAGGTTTGAAAATGTTAATGCTAGACATATACATTTTTGGAATCAGAATTATAAACTCTTTTCCTGTGTAAAAATCCAATCCCATAAGAAAAAATAAATTTTATGCTAGAGGACAAGAGACTAAACGTGAATTCTACTATACTTATGCCATCTTGTAAAGGAGAAAAAGTGGCAAGGTTAATGTGTTTGAATTTCTAAGCGGCAGTTAGCTACGTAAATACGCAACTTCGCCCCCATTTAACCAACTACAAATCTTTTAGCGTTTCTGGAATCCCAATGGTGGAAGTCGAATTTGAAACACTGCTACTACTATCCAGCTTTGATCCCAACTCCATATGACCATTGGGCACAGAGACACAATAGGTAATCTGCAGTTTGTCCTTATTTTCTTTAGAATAATTTCGAAGCTGCATCCTCTAGGTACTAATGAAGAAAGATTCTAATCTCTAAAAAAAATTTGCCGCATATGGCATATAATGAATAAAAATGATGTTTATATACATCGCAAATTAATTTTGCTCACCATAAACATTCTTAAACAGGAGATCTGAATAGAACAAACTGAATATGTTTAAGAATTTATTGTCTCCTGCTTGTAAGTCTTGTATCTTTATCGTTTCCTATGGCTTCCGGATAGTAGCACTTAGGCTATAGAAGGCAGAACCGCTTGAATAAAGGATTGTTTGTTTTGTTTCATTCTGATGGTAGTCAGTGGTTTCCGCAGATTTTCGTACGTGATGGAATTACGACGATGTGGTCTGTTGCACAGAGCACTAGACAGCATCAGCCATTGTATGGTGGCGTATGGAGCAAAAGATGAACGATAATAGGAATCGGTCGTTTATAAAATGAACTGAGTAACGTATGATAATTTACTATTACAATTCTTAAGATGATGGAAGCGTCCTTGGTCCAAGAATTTTTCTTTGTTTTGTTAATGATCTGCCTGATCACTTATATACCTGAACCACTACGACAGCGGTGGCTACCGTGAGGCTACAGGGGATGCAGGGAAAAGCCGGAACGTCACACGGACTCTAGCGAGGGAACACGTCGAAGTGCGACAGACCGAGACCCTCTCCAGCTACAATTAGCAAAAGACATCTTTGTGTAAGTTTTGTTCTGTTAGCAATAATAGATCTGGAGAAACTCAGGACCCTATTTTGAGCTATTTACACCAAACACCGATAATGATAACTATAAATACGGAATGCTATTTCCTGCCTACTACTTTGCATTACCCTGCGACTTAACGTTTGCTCAGACTAGCTAAGTACTCACTCCGTATATTGCCTAGATCATACTCGACCTGGAATACTGCTTACACATTTGAGTAACTACTGTTCCAACAACACTCTATACTTGATGCGGCTCAGCTGTCACTATTCGATTTTCTCTAAAGACAATCTCAGTTAATCGACAGAGATCGGTGTTTTGAGCCTTTTTACCGTTAAGCTTATTTTTTCCCTGAGCTCTTGAAGATGATGATGTCTCAGTCCTCGGCTGTAAGACGACGAAGATATTGAAATATGGAACTTTCCCTAGTTCCAAAATATATATAATTTATTTGCATTAGTTGCCAGTATTTAGATTATTTAACCTTTCATTGGGAAATCGGGTCCTTACTTGGTATTATTATTGGTATGGCAACGACTTTGATAAACTTGCCTCACTATAGTCACTTTTAGAAAATCACATAAACGTGTAATGAAACCTAAATCGTTCCGATTAGCCCTAATAAGAATGAAACGGCAACGCTTATGAAGAGCACTATTTGCATTACGTTTTGTTTTGGCCTATAAAATTTATTAATATGCATGTGAAATGCTTCTATGCTAAGGAATGCATAAGGAATTCTATATGCTTTCGTCTATTTTGTACATGCGTGCATTTTATAACCCAAGCTCATGGAGGTTGACACAAACGGTATGCAGTGTTGATGTCTCCATCGTTTTATCTTCTCGTTTCGTCCCACGAATTGTGACATGATGCAACTAATGCTATGTTATTTTAGAGAACCGCGGCGACTACTATTCGAATTCTTTGCTCTGAAACAGTTGTAACCTCATTAATTCACTTCTAAATAAAATTTATGATATGTATATATGCGAATGGCAGTCGGTGATAGTGATGGGATTGATCCGAGGCTGTAAAAAATAACGGAGCATCGATTATTGATTTCTAATGACTCCCACACATGGTGAACGTTCTACTCAAAAGCTCTTAAGCTAGGTCGAAAATGGTCAATTGCCAGCATTTCACGCCACAAACTCAAGGAAGCCAATCATACAGTGGCGTACCTTGCTCCTCAGGGACCCTATATCATATTTGTGGGAGGGGAGGGGCACCCAACTGTGGCGAATCCCAAATGGAAGTTAAAATTTGAAGGATTGATTTTTATAAAAGAAACATAAAGCTTGCATTGAATAATATGAATTGTCACGTATTGACAATGGGCAAAAATTGAAAAAGCTTCCAGAACGTCCAAACACGGCGCCTCCAGTGTTGCTAGATGGAACGATACGTTGCCAGTTTCATTACTTGATTTAGAGTACAATCAAAGTGAACTAATCCTTATAAGTGCTAATGTTAATTAATATTTGATGAAAATATGTAGTCCTGATACACATTATTCTTTAGTGTGATACCAAAAAGGAAGAGTGTAGCATAACAGACCGTACGTACACCACTGTGAGCGCGGGATCCGCAGCGACTTTATCTGTACAAAGGTACAGAAGTATTGTTTAAAATAGTGTGGATCTTTTTTGACATAATGCAATGTGAGTCTATTTCGCTTCTACCGTTATACTCCAAACATATTTTAGCAAAGCATTGGTTACAGATAATCTGTCACAGTCACAAATATATGTCGAAAACTCCTTCATCTTAACATCGCATGCGCACTAAAAAAAAGACCGTTCGCGGTGACAAAATTTGTTACTCGGAAAATTCGTTGTTCGTGGTACAACTGTGTTAAGTTCTGAACGTGCTCGTAATGTGTTCGACAGATCCGGTGATAGACGGAGGGATTTAAAATTGAGAACAAATCCTAACCTATAATTCTGTGTCTTTGTGATATAAACAAACATTTATCTTAAATCTACTTTCAAGATGATGCCAATGATGCATTTAAGTTCAAGTGACGAAGATTTGGAAGAATTGAACGAATTGTTTGAAGTTCCAAAGAATGAGAACTTTTGTGAGGAAACTGAGCCCCAATTCAACGATCAACAGTTTTTGGGGCATTTTAGGATAAGCAGGGAAGTAGCAACCCAATTATCAAACAGATATGAGGCTTCGCAATATTATCACTACCAAAAAGGTGACTCTGAAAAAATCAGCCCTTTTAAAACAGTTGTGGCCTTTTTATGGTATGCAAGCAATGAAGCTGCAAGCTTAAGGGATGTATCTGACCGGTTTGGGATTACGATTAGCTCTCTTCATAAAATTGTAAAGAGATTTACGTATTTTTTATCCAATTTGTCTGCGGAATTTATAAAATGGCCAACTAACGAGGAAAAAATTGAAATTGAAAGCCACTTTAGGCAAGACGAATTTCCTGGCATTATTGGCGTCATTGACGGTACACACATTGAAATTGACAAGCCACAGGATGATCCAGATTCATACCGTAACAGGAAGCACTTTTTTTCGATCCATGTAAGAAAGCAAAATTTTAAATTTCAATTTAAATGTTATTCAAGTTTGATAATATCTTAAATGTTTAGATAATATATTTTATTTTTTACAGGCACAGGTTGTTTGCGATCATAAAAGGTAAACAAGGGATATATTTGTCGGATACCCAGGATCCGTACATGATAGTCGAGTGTTTCGGACATCACCAGTATTTGGAACACTCCAAGAAAAATGTGAAAACCACTTTATTATTGGAGACAGTGGTTACCCTTGTTCATAATATTGCCTAACTCCATTTCAAGATAAAGGTAATTTGACTCGTCGCCAAAGAAATTACAATTATATTCTTTCGAAAAATAGATATGTAATTCGGCATACTCAAACAAAAATTCAGACAACTTTACCATTTGAAATTAGTAAATGTCGAATTGTGTGTTCACTTCATAAGGGCCTGTGCTGTATTGCACAACCTTTCAATAGAAGACAATTTACAGGATTTTGAAGTTCCACCAACTCCAGAAGCACATAATGAAGTAATTGTTGGACAAGCAGGGCGAGATGCAGGAAATAAAAATCAGGATGAACAAACTGGGATAACAAAAAGAAATGAAGTAATGAATAGCTTAAATTTCGTAATTTAGTATGTAATGTGTATGCATTTTTAATAAAAGCTTTTTGAAATAAATTTAAAGCAAGTAGTGTTTATTAATTAACTAAATAATGAAAAAAAAAGTAAACAAAAAAAAACAACGAAATTCTCTAACTAAAATAAAAACACTGTATTATTTAAAACTTAAATTATACTAATTTAAATTTGATCTAAATAAATATAGAAAAACATAACAAAATTCTCTTAAAATATGTAATTCAAAACTTAACATCTAAATTCTTTGAACAACCTTTTAACCTTTTAAAGGATATCAAGGTGTGGATTAGATCTTCCTAAATATTGTTTTATTAATTCATTTTTTTCTCTCCTCAATTTCCAAAAGTTTGTTGTAAAATTCTTTTCTATCTTTCCGAATTTCAGATAAAATTGTAACTTTAAGCCTTTTATTTTTATTCATAGTTGTAATCCTTTGAGGAGCTGTTACATCAGTTGCCTTGCTGCTGGTGCTGAGTAGCTCCTTGGTTTTAGGAAATTTACCAGATATTCCTTTTCAGGATTATCTCCTGTAACCACCTGTGTTGTTGGATGAATAACTGTGTCGGATGACAATAATACAACAGGATGAATGTTTCGTTTTTTACCCAAAATATCTTCCATTGCTTATGCATACTCAAACTCTCTTCTTCCTCTTCCAGTTTTATTGTTGTTGTCCACATATTTCTTGAACATTCTCTCCCGATGTTTCCATCTGTTTTCACAATTTGATCCTGCTATATTTTGATTGGTTTTTTGTCTTAACTCCTTTTTTCTTCATACATTTTTTTAAATTTTTAATTTTTAAAGGCCCAACCAAGTCTCTATATTTTTTATATAGGTCCAAAAAAAAATAAGAGTCTTGCTGTAATTCCATTTAAAGGATTCCACTTCATCCTGGTCTTGAGAACATGAAGGAAATAGCAGAAACTCTGACAGATATAACAAAATAGGAATTTTTTTATTATTTATTTATTGATGGGTTAAAAAAAACTTACCTCCTTCATCAGACATTTTAAAAAAAATGGGCGACACAGTTGCTGGACTTGATAAAAAAAATACTTAAATTCAAATAATAAAAATCAAAACAAAAACTCTAACCTTACTTTTGTGCAGAAAGAATTTGGTAGGTTTTGCTGCTCGCGGACATTAAAAATTCCGAATTAATTACATCACGCGCTTGCGCATTTCAAACATATCGGAGGTACTTTATTTGTGTTCGGAATATGCTCTAGATTAACTCCGAGAAAAAAGCTAATATTCATCTCGTAAAAACTATGCCACACACATACAGCTCGCACACATATCATATTCATACAGCGTACTGCCATCACAATGTAAATAAGATGAATTGACTTGAAACCTTGGTCACACTACCAACTATGACGTCATCAGTTTCCGTTCGGGTCGCTGAAAGTGAAATGTGGCAGCCGCATTCCCTGAAAAACCCGGCTAAAAAATTGAGAGCCCAATTTACGGGGTCATATGGCGCAATTGAAGCGCTGTATAAACATTTATTATTTCTCTGCAATGTGTTATGGGTGTGAGAATTATGACAAATAGTTTTTATGGGATTTTTTTGTGTCGGAAGACATAAACATTATGCAGGATAAGTAGATGCGGATGTAAAAAATAGAGTAATAAGGTCATTGCAGATGATACATGGCACGTTTAACTACCGAGCGAACTGAGATTGAATGCTGGGCTAGATAGAATGGTTGCGGAGGAGGGCATTTTTTTTGTTTGAAATTTTACTAAAGTTGTTAATATCTATATAAAACGAAACTTCCGTAAGTACTCATCATGATCTTCAAATTCATGCTGGGTAATGAAAAAATTAACATGTGTGCACAAAGATAATAAATATCAAATGTGTCTTCAAGAATCTGCAGGTTTATTACCGTCTAACGTGTAACCTTTGCACCTGGTTACAATAGGTATGCTAAAAGCTGACTCAATAGGAAATAAAAACGTTTTGTGCATTATTTATGAGCCGCTAATATTTGTTTTTTTCTTGAAAACACATAAGTGGGTATTTCGATGGTTTGGCATAGCGTATAACAGCTATTTACGACATTGGTGCCAAATTATCGTTTTCTTCATATTTGAAGTGTACCAACGACTTTATGCTTCTGTAAAATAGCATATATGCAGTTTACGTTTCTCTATCATAGAGTTGAACGCGAACCCAAGTGAATTTTTTGAACTTCACTTGGACGTCAAGCATCGACTATGCACTTTCCATGCAACGCTGTCATCATTTCTTAAAGGATTACGTTCGGCACAAATTAGCCCCTCTGAACTAGCTACAAACATGTATAACAAAAGTCAGCCAAACAGGCCCATACAATTAGTCTATACACCATAGTCGCCACCCATTTGATAACGTTTACGCTACTTTTTCCCTACCCTAAGTATCAACCATTTTGGCAACGGTGCTGGACCACACCAGTCAATCATGCCATAACCGCCAGTCACGATACTATAACTCCAGATCGGGAACCCTGACTATAAAGTCAGACGCACACAGAGTCTGCCATCGACCCGGCCAATCGCATATCGCGTGTTTCTATGTTCTAAGGGCAATGTGAAATATGTACTAGTCCAAGTTTCCTAAGTCCAGTTCTTTTAATAGCACTATAATTGGTCTCCTTTAAAAAATAAAGTAAGGTGGAAAAGCAACAAAACGAAGGAAACCGCTGATTTATCAACTTTCTAGCCAAATATTTCAAAAACGTGACGGTTGCTTTTTCCAAATTTTTAGGTAAGGTTTAAATTCCCCTCTAGTTTCATGATGATGTTGTTTTAAAACAGTTGCATAAGTTTTTTCCTTACGAAAATTAAAATAATAAATCATTTCATTATCAAAAAGATAAATACAAAAACATGAATTCTCATACACCTGCAAAAACAACTTGGCACTAAAAGACAGAACTCAATGACCAAACAAGTGCAATAATATTTGAACATGAAAATATCTTTCTCATAAGAGTAAATCTTACATCGATTGTCTCAGAAACTAAACGGTAGTTTTTTTACAGAATCTTGTATCATAACACATAAAAATGCCCAACATTTCTAGAAATTGTGTCCAAAGTATTCAGGATATTTGGGCCATATGGAGGCGGTTGAGCGAGACAACCGCAGGACAAATTTCAGATGTTAGGTTTCATGAATATTAAGAATAGTCAGTAGGTATGTGCTATTGAGCAACGGGTGAAATCCAAGAGTTTTCATCTCAGATCAATGACTAATGTCTATCAGCAAGATGGAACATTCTCTTACTCTTATTTCTGGCTTTCGTACCATACGAAGTTGCTCAAATAGGGGCAAAGTTGCATTTTCAGGTAATTGTCAAAATTTCGCTTAGGAAGAAAAGTATTTCTGCAGATAGATGAAAAATCCGATTTAGTTTTTTCCTGAATTTATTTGTAGCGGGATTTCAAAATAAATTGTACATTAACATTGCCACTTTTTCTCCTCCCCAGGATGCAATAATTCTAGCATCAACTTCATTGTTTCTTATAGACGCCAAATTGGATTTTTACACGTGTGAGTAGAGATTATCATTCTGATTACAAAAATTTATAATATGTCATACATTGACATCGCCAAACCTTAGTTATAACAAACGACAGAATTTCCTAGGTAGGCTTGGAGTTGTCAGATAATCATTTGATTCGTATACCAGTCCAGACCTAAAATTGAACACAATAACAGTTTAGAAGGCCGAGCAGTGAACAATGTACAGCGAAGAGTCAGACCTTGTCTACAAAATATAGGACAAGATTTTGAATATCTACTATCTTTTACCTCTGCTTATTTATGATTATTGATGTTATTACCATCAATAAAATGTTCATTTCGTGTTTGGGTTTCACCATATATTTTTATTTCCTTATAATTTTCGTTCCAACAACAAACTCATTGCCAACAAAGGAAATATGTCACTGCATTTAGGACTGAACACTCCATTTAAATGTACAAAATTCCAATGTAGCGTTTGACTACGCCATCTTGAAGATGAGAAAAAGTGACCATTACAACATGTTATTTACTTAGAAATCCCATCTCAAGTAAAGTCAGGAATAATAAAAAATGTTTTTGGGATAAATCTGGTAGACGAAACAATTGACTATCCGATAATTTCAAGGCCTACCTAGGATTTTTTTTTCTTAAATATCAAAGCTTTGGCAATGTCAGTATGACATATTATACATTTTTGGAATCAGAATTAAAAACTGTATTCACCTGAGCAAAAATCCAATATGGTGTCCTTGAGAAAAAATAAAGTTGATGCTAGAGGACAAGAGACGAAACGTCATATTGAAATTATAATTATGCCCTCTTGTAGAAGAGAAAAAGTGGCAATGTTAATGTACACTTTGTTTTGAAATCCCACTAAAAATGAAGTCCGGAAAAAATTAAAACGATTTTGAGAAAATTCTTTTTTTTCCGTCTGTCTAGGCATTTTGTTAATTACATAAATACACAACTTTGACCCCATTTAAACGACTTCGTGTCTCTTAGTTTATGAGATCCAAATAGTGACGGTCGAATACGAAACACCCGGTATAGTTTTTCATGTTACATTAAAAGCGTCAATGGTCAGGCTGATTGACAAAAAACCAGAGAAATTAATTGCCACATTGTCCTTATTATGAAAAATTCCATTTCACTGCCCACCGAAAAGAATTTGTATCGCGACCGTATACGCACCGTCGCGCGTTATACCTGTACCATTCATATGATTAATGATATAAGGAACAAAAAGCTGTAGCCGCATGAAATATGCACACGATTGTATACACACTCTCACCGTTATACTTCCACTTATTGGAGAACCCACGTACTTGTCTTGAAAGAAAACAAAGCCCAGGTGTCCCGTGCCGCATACCACAATGCTCTTATAGACCAGAGAAATGAGCGAAAAAGACACGCCTAGTTGCAACAAGCCAATGGGCGTTTCAGATAATATAATTGTAAAGAGACAAAAAAAATCTGTAGAAAATTCCATCTTCCTAGTTA